AAGGTCAGAGGGAGAAGCAGACTCCCTGCCGAGCAGGGAGCCCGATGTGGGACTTGATCCCGGGACTCCAGGATCATGACCTGAGCCGAAGGCAGTCACTCAACCAACTGAGCCACCCAGGCGCCCCATAAATATATTTTAACAATGTATAAATTTTCACGAGTTGAACACAAAAGGCACCCAGGTCAAGAAATAAAACATGTTATCCCCACCCCCAAAAAAAACCCTCAAGTTACTTCCTTCCAAAGAGTAACCATTATCCTGACTTCCAATGCAGTACTTTTGTCTGTTTACGCTCTTACATAATGGGATACATAGTACATCCTTGTGTGTGTCTAGCTTCTTTCATTCAGAATTGTTTTGTGAGATTCATGCATGTCCTTCTATGCATTTGTAGATTGTCCGTTCTCAGTTGCTGTATCATTGCGTTCCAGTATGAATAAATACTATAATCTGTCTCTTCTAATGATCACTCAACAGGATGTTAGCAAGCAGAGTACTCATGGCTAATAAAAACCCTTCTCCAAAGCTAAAAGTTTCAAAGTGGTGATAGCACATGGTGCTGAATCACAGCACACAAGGTGAGGGCCTGACCTATGCCTCTGATTTAACTGACCACACTGCTCATGCCTTTCAGATTGAAGAAGTTGCATATTCTTCCCTGAACTTCAATGCCCAGGAACCAAAGAAATCAACTTCAGCCTCCCCCTCCCCAGCAGCCACAGAAACGGTGTATACAGAAGTACAAAAGAAGTAACGCAACCTGTCCGGCTCGCAACCTGTCCTGCTCGCTGTGCTCACTCTTTCCAAGCTTCTCATCCCCATCACTGTGGGATCCCTTTACCCTCAGGGAAAAGGGGAAGAAGCCTCTTTCCCCACCTCACTCCCTAACGAGGCACCTCCAGGCTGCCTGGTCATAGCCCCTCCCTTCAGTGTCAATAGATGAAAAGGTACATCCGGGATTCTAGGAAACCCAACCTTCCCTGTCATTGAAATTTGGCAAAGCAGACCTTGGGAAGTTGCCACAACCTCTGCCCCTCCTCCTTCCCTTGTTTTAAACTTACCTATTCAGAGCACAGTCATTCCTTCCTGCCCCAGTCCTGTCCTACTGGAGTCTAACTTGAATTTACCATAACCTTGAGAGTCCTCTCCTGATCCACTAAAATGCACGTGCCAGAAAAGAAGAGAGAGAAGAAGTAAAAGTAAAAACTTCTATCTCTCCAAAGCCCCGTGTGAACCCCACCCTGCACAGGAAAACAAATATGCTGAATGGAGATGCTGAACTATACCTTTGTCTACTGTCAAAGTTGTCTACCAGGGCCTGAACACCTTGCTGCTTAACTAGAAAGCCACCTAAGCCATTTGACAAGCCTGTCTTCAGAGAACCCACTAGAAGCAATTAAGAAAATTATTCACTGAGGTCTACAGGTGATTCCTAATGGAAAATGCAAAAAAAAAAAAAAATGCATGTATGTTTCATAAGCCCACAGAAGGAGGGCTTATAGCTTCAGGGAGCAGTCAGCTCTTAGTAGAGATAATCAGCTGGGAATTTGGGAAAGGAGTCAGAGAGCTACCCTTCAGAGATTATTTGAATAATTGTTAAAGAATGCAGTTTGGTGTATTAGGTTTTTTCCCTGAGATATTCTGCCATTTTAGTTTTTGCAACTGCTTGTTTCTGTGAAAGGGGCTATTTCTACTTAGCTATGTAAGTCAACCTGACTGCCTTCAGTGAAAGAAGCCACCAAGACCCCTCAAGTCCCCTTGGCCAGGAGCTCCTCGAGGTGTTTATGTCGGGGGCTCCAAAAAAGAAAAGCAGTAGCAGCGGTTTTCCTCCTTCGTGGCTAGTAATGGGTCTAACTCAGTTTCCCGGCATCTCAGGCCGGTCTTCAACCACCATTGCTTTCCACGTCTCTGCTGCACATGGTGTCTGCCCCACTCACTTTCTCAGGAGACCTGGCCTCTTGCCAAGGTTCCACTGGTCCTTGAGAAGTGGGGGTGCCCTGAAGGGAACACACTCATGCCCCTGTTGGCATTGCTTATCTCCCTGGAAAGCTGCCCTGGTGCTGATGCTCCTGGGGAACCAGGGCTGTGAGGGGTGTTAGGACAGGGGAGGGTGATAACTGGGTCAGAGGCATCTTGAATAGCCTCGGAAATGTTTTCTCCCATGGGGGTCTATGAGCCCCAGTGTGCAGAATAGAAAGGAAGGGCAGGAGAAGGAAAGGCAACGTACTTCCCACCCAGCCTCCTCCTACACAGTCTCTTTGGGGCTGTTGAGAAAGGGGTTTTATTCGATATTGATTACTTGATGTCATGCTTTGTCTGAGGCCCCTCAAAGAGGGCGAGTTGGGAATTCTCTGTACTCAGGTACCTCTTTCAAGGGTTTTCTAACCCTGACAGTCTGTATATACTTCCCCTCATCCATGCTATTCTGTGTTATTTAATTTTGTCTGGCTAGGGCCACTTCTGAATTATTTGTAAAATCTCTATATTTATAATAAAAATTATAAAGTCAACATGAACTTGCTGCCTCACGGTTGATACTGCTTTAGACAATATCTTCTTTACAGGCAGAAGAAAGAGAACTTGCTGAACTGGGAGTCAGAATGAGCCCAAGTCTACAGATATTTGATCCAGTGATCAGAAGATTAGCTAGTCATTTGCATGCCTGCTGACAAAGTGAGTCTGTCTAGATATGACAGCCCATAGCTTCAACCTGCTCGGAAGAAACTGCCTATTTTCTTCTGAGAGACGTGATTCCATGAGTAAAAGATCTCCAGGCCTCGGGCGCCTGGGTGGCTCAGTCGTTAAGCGTCTGCCTTCGGCTCAGGTCATGATCCCAGGGTCCTGGGATCGAGCCCCGCATCGGGCTCCCTGCTCTGCGGGGAGCCTGCTTCTCCCTCTCCCACTCCCCCTGCTTGTGTTCCCTCTCTCACTGTCTCTCTCTCTGTCAAATAAATAAACAAATCTTTAAAAAAAAAAAGATCTCCAGGCCTCTTTATTAGGGACCAGTGACGCTTCCTGCACGGGTGGCTCTGGTGACTCAGATGCAGCAGACAGCTTGGGCTCAGAGCCTCCACAGGTCCATTCACACAGACGCCTCTCTAGGGTATTCTAACCTGAGTACCCTTCATTTATTAACCCCACTAAGTACTAGCCTATTCTATCATCTCCTTCATTTCCAAGCCATAGAAGCACGTGTGCCGCGTCCCGTCCTTGTCACCTGGTATCTCCTGGCCCCTGTGCGGTGGCGCATCCACACCCAAGACCGCTAGGTGCAGCAGGAAGTCAGTACCCGTCCTTAGCCCAATTCAAAGGTATCTTCACCATCCTCACGTTTGCTTTTACAATGTCTAAGACCACGGACAACTTTTCCTTCTTGGACATTCTCCTTCTTCCACCCCGGCCTTTGCATCACGCCCCACACCAGATTTAGTAGTGAGACCCGACGGGACACCTCCACACGATCCTCCTTCCATAGCTTCGATGACCTCTCTGCAGATGGCCCCTGCATCTGTATCTCTAGCCCCTACTGCTTCCCAGAACTCCTGACACTCATATCCAAACACCTTCTGAAATTCCTCCTTATTTAAATTGCACCCCCCATCCCCACCCCCGCAGCCCTACACGGCAACTCACTTTTCTCTTTCCACATCTTTCCACACTACCACTGTTTCCTCCGCATTGCTCTCTGGTTTCCCAGATTCGATACATCACAAAACCTGATGGTCCTTTAACACCTCTCAGTACATTGTTCTGTCGATTCCCGTGACCCTAAACAACCCAGGCCCTCAATAACTCTGCTGGAAGTACAGCCTGACTCTTTGTCTCTGGTCTCTCTATTAAAATCTTTCTTGCTCACTCTTGCCTCACTATCTTCCTAAAAACTGGTTCACTCTCCTGTTCAAGGGTCTGTAGTGGCCTACCCTGGCCTATCAGGTAAGATCAAATTTCTTCCTCTTTACTAATATTTCTTACCTTCTTTACCACAACTCTAGTATAACTCCTCCATTCTAATTAGATCTGTCTCCTTACCCAACCCTGCTGCTCTACCCCATATACACATATAATTCTTAGTCCCAATGATATGCCTGAAAACAAATACCAAACAGGGCAAGGTTCTGTTATCTCACAGAGGAGTTACCCCTACTGGTCATCACAACTCCAACCCTGGGGAGGACAGGGACTCTGAGACTCAGGAAACAACCTACCTGTGACTGCGATCTTTTTTCTGATGACCAATTCATGTGTTCGTGAAATGCTTATTGAGCACCTACTGTGCTACAAATGTGGGTGACAGACTCCATGAAAGACACAGAAATGAGAAAGGCTAGGAACATAATGCATAATGCCTAAGACAGGAAATAAGACATGAAAAAGTATTATAATATAAAAATAAAAAGGTATAAATGCTACAAGAGAAGACAGAAAGAAATCCAATGGGAAATGTGGCTGTACATTAGAATGATGGGGAAATTTTAAAAAACAATTGACACTCAGGCCCCACCCCCAGATTCCAACTCCATTGGTGCAGGCTGGAATCCTGGCACTGGTGAGTATTGAAAGATCCCCAGATCCTGTTGATGTGTAGGCAGGATAAAGAACCTCTGTTATCACAGGTAGGACTGAGCCTCAAAGCAGTGGTTTTTAGCTAGGAATAGAAATTGGAACTACCTGGGGAACTTTTCCAACATACATATTAAGCCCATGAACAATCCCTGAGAAAGCTGCTGGTACAGTGTGTCTTCAGTGAGACCTGGGTTATTTGGAAAGACTACCAGGTAATTCTCACGTATATTCTGTTCCAGGAAACACTGACCTAAAACATAGGTAAAATTGAAAAACTGAGGAGTTAGGAGAATATTCCACATGATGGGCATAAAATGAATAATCTATTCTGCAAGGCACAGAGAAGTACTTAAAATAAAATTATCGGCAAGTAGCTAAACTTTAAGAGACTGCTGATACCACCTGTTGTGAAGATGGGAAAGACGTGGTATTCCTCATATTGCTGGTGGAAATAGAAAATGACACAACCACTCTGGAAAAGAGTCTGACATTTTCTTATAAAGTTAAATATACAGTCAATCCCACTTCTAGGTATCTACCCAAGAGAAATGAAAATAGATATCCACACAAAGAGTTATACATCAGTGTTTCTAAACAGCATTATTCATAATCGCCAAAAAATGGAAACCACAAATATCCATCAGTATGTGAATGGATAAACAGATTGTGGTATATCTATACAAGGGAATACTAGTCATCAATAAAAAGGGCACAAACTACTGCTAAAATGAGATGCATGAATCTCCAAAACATTATACTATGCAGAAGAAGCTAGACATGAAGGAGCACACACTATATTTAAATGAAGCTCAAGAATAGGCAATAATAATTAATGATGTTAGGATTCACCATAGGGGGTGGAATTAACTGCAAAGGTGCACAAGGGAGCTTTCTGGGTCACATTTGACATCTCAATTCAGGTGGTGATTACATGGATGTTTATACATTTACCAAAACTCAAATGGTACACTTAAGATCTGTATGCATTTCTTTTTTTTTTAAGATTTTATTTTTTTATTTGAGAGAGAAAGAAAGAGAGCACAAACACGAGCCGGGGTGGGGGTGGGGGGTAGGGGTGGCAGAGGAAGAAGCAGATTCCCTGCGCAGCAGGGAGCCCAACTCAGGGTTTGATCCCAGGGCTCCAGGATCATGACCTGTGCAGAAGGCAGCAGATGCTTAATTGACTGAGCCACCCAGGCACCCCAGATCTATATGCATTTCAATGTATTTCAATTTTATCTCAATTTTTAAAAATAAAGTAAGTGAAGGAGCAACCAATTCAATCTATCAGGTACAAAATCTCCCATCGCAAAGTGAACTATGTTCATGCTCTCAAGGAGCTCCTTCAGGGTCGTCCCTATTTTGAAGAAATAGCAAAAAAGCCAAACATGGTCGTCCAAACTCAAAGTGAAATAGAGACTAGGGACAAAAAACAGAAACAAGAAAACCCAGCCCATTTCCTTCTAGCATGCAAATGTCTGAGTCACAGACACACTCACTGTCCTCAAACCTTTAGTAATGGCTGAGAGTAGCCAGATCTAAGTTAATCCCTAACTAAAGTACCAGAAACCAAAAGCCACCCCAAGAAACCAACCAAATATGACAATAAGGCTACACTCATTCAACTAGGGCATTTTATAGATTTCTGATGAGTCATTCATTTATTAAACACTTACTGGGGATTTCTATATGTCAAGCACTAAGCCAGGGGCTGATGAGAACATGAAGATTAAAAATAAAGCCTGGGGCGCCTGGGTGGCTCAGTCGGTTAAGCGTCTGCCTTCAGCTCAGGTAACGATCCCAGGGTCCTGGGATCGAGTCCCACGTTGGGCTCCTTGCTCAGTGGGGAGCCTGCTTCTCCCTCTGCCTCTGTCTGCCTCTCTCTCTCTCTCTCTCAAATAAATAAATATTAAAAATAAATAAAGCCCCTTACTTGGATTTTTAAGGGGGGGGTAGGCAAAGAAAGAAATAAAGGAACAAAAAAGGCTGGAAGGAAAGAGAAGGGAAGGGGGGAATTATGAGACAGTTGCAGAAATCAGAATAGTGACTATTTTAAGACATTGAGGAAGTATTAACTTTTAGTGCAATAGTGGTATTGTGATTATGTTTTTGTAAAGATACCTTATATTTTAGTAATACAATTGGAATATTAATGAAATTATCCAATGTCTGAAATTTGCTTCAAAATAATCCAGGTTTGAGGAGAGGAGTATAAATGATACAATACTGGCCACAAAATAATTGCCAAAGCTGCATGATGAGTGTGTGGATTCATCTTATTATTAGCTTTACTTTTGCAACTGTTTGAAATTTTCCAGAAAAAAAAAAAGAAGTCCCTGCTCTCCAGAAGCTTACAACACAAGGAATCAGATATTCCAACAAATACACTACTATGTAGTTTAACAAAATTTGACAAAGTGTAGTCAAGCTCCAAGGATAGTGACTGCCCCCGGGATAGGCAAAAGAAGTCTGAGAAGATGGGGCGCCTGGGTGGCTCAGTTGGTTAAGCGACTGCCTTTGGCTCAGGTCACGATCCTGGAGTCCCGGGATCGAGTCCCGCATCGGGCTCCCTGCTCAGCGGGGGGTCTGCTTCTCCCTCTGACCCTCCTCCCTCTCATGCTCTCTGTCTTTCATTCTCTCTCTCTCTCAAATAAATAAATAAAATCTTAAAAAAAAAAAAAAAGAAATCTGAGAAGATCTTAAAGGAGCATCCTCCCCTTGACCAGAGTCTTTAAGAAAAAGTAGTACAGGCAAAAGAGCAAACCAGTGGTACAAAGGCATGCAGATGTGAAGCAGCAGAGTTCAGGCATACGCTTTGGATGACTTACCAGAGACCATGTTATTTAGGAGCACACATTCTGGAGCCAGACTACCTACACTGGAGGTCCTGCTCCTAAGGACCTACTCTGAGACTTTGGGCAGGCTACTTGTAATGTTTCTCTGTGCCTCAGAT